AAGACACTGAACATAAAATAAATAAACAAATGACAAATACTATTTTATCTCTTTATTTTTTTTCCCCAGAATATTTTAATATTGAAGCCCAAGTTGTTATTTTCAAGGGACAGGGAAGGGGGAAAGGAAAGGGAGAAAAGTTATGAAGACAAATTATTTTATTTAATTTATGATTTTGTGAATGGTCATTTCTGTAGGCAACAAAAGGTCGTTTTCTTAAAAAAAATAATAAACAGCACCATTAAAGAAAGCATGATCCCTGAATTCTAAACAATACACTGTCTTGAAACACAAAAAATTGCTAAATGCTTGTTTCACCCTGTCACATCTGGTGGGGTAACAAAGCAAAGCATAACAGCATTAAACTGTAGCAATCTTGCTGAAACCAACTACACCCCCTTCTGAAAATTCAGAGAACCACTTTCCGAGCTTGTCCTGTGGGAATAACATTTTCTTTGGTAGAGGACTGAAGGAGGGTATTTACTTCACTGACTGCGGATAGAAAAAGAATCTATGCACATTAGGGATCTCCCCAATAATTCTGTATTTCTCATGCATGTTAGGTATGAGTGGATTTCACATTGCTGTTATACTGCAGGAGTAATACTGCCCTATAAAGGCATAGAATGGCTAATGTTGAACAGATGTAAACATTCAGAATACTGACAAAAAAAACCCCATACACACAAAAAACCCTGTACTGAAAACATGAACTGAGTTAAGTTTCCATAAAGCAGAAAAAATATTTTACAGCAGTACAAGAGAATTATGGCAACAAAGTAAAGCACTTTTCTTGTAACATTCATGAACAGTACAAATACAACAAAGTTATTCTACGGACTAAATTATTCTTTAACTATCAAATATAGTACAAAGCGAAATATTATGTGCTATAAAAGAAGCAGCTCCTTAAATTAGACTAAAAAATGCTTTTCTTTTCTTTTCGTTGGTTTTACAGTGACAAAGCATGATGACCGAAGACAACAGGATTTCATAGATTCAGAAACATTTAGCTACACAGGTCCATGATAAAGCCACTGAGTATTTTGCTGCTTCCCCCGCAGTGTTCCGCAGAGCCGCGGAAGATGAGCCGCTGCGCTGCTGCCAGGAGACTGCAGAAGTCATTCAGTGTTCAGAGCAGGGCCCTTCATGTGCGTCAGCTAAAATGATCCCTTTTGGTGACACTCCTCAGCTCATCTCGAGTGCTTATCCTGGTACTTCACCACACCTTGGAGAAACTGCTAAACCAGAGGCTACAACAACGATTCTGAAATTGTGCGTGTGTTCATAAGGGGAAGGGGGTGCAGCATAAGGTAATTTTACTTCAGAAATTGCATTATAAAGCACCATATGCACCAGCTTAAAAACTGTGCAAGGAATTGCAGGGCCCTGAAAAACCATCTGCACGTTCTGTAGCTTACCCTGACAACATGCACCACCCTCAAGAAGAAAGTCTATAGTACAGAGAATATACCTTTCGCTTTATGGCTCAACCTTTATTTTTGTCTTTTAAATGCTATTTCATGTACTAGATCTCAGCAGATAAATAAAATGCAAACAGGGAGCATCCAGTTCACCATTTCTGACTTACTTTTTTAAACATTATTTCAAAGGGAGTTTCTGCTTGGAAAATTATTTCAGAACAGAAACACACAAACACACTCACTGCAAATGCCCTAATGTTATCTGCATATCTCACAGGTATGCAATTAAAACAATAAAGAGGGAGGAAAGAAAAAAGGGTTTCTCCCTCTCACCCAAAAGTGCTGCTCCAGGGGTAGGAGTAGGGGGACAATTTTGGAGATTAAAAATAAAAAAAAAAGGTAAATTATACATGCCGGACACTGGGACACATACGTACGCACACACAAACACAGAGCAGTGTGTTCTTAAGTAATTCTTTCACCACTTTTCAGTGCATAAACTATTAACAACCCACGGTGCAAATGGCATGGTCATTGGAAAACACGATGACATTGAGCCTGAAACCTGAACAATCAAACAACAACAAAAAGGAGTAATTCAAAATTAACGTCTAAATGTGACCTGGTTCTTACCAAAGGCCTAGTGCTGCTCTCCTCTAAGCATTTATGTGATACCAAAATCCACGTAAGGTTTTCAGTCGCGCTAGGATTCCGTCAGGCTCTCACACCACCGCGGTTGCTTTTGAGTATTTTCATACCCTAAACCTAATCCGTAACAATGCTTCACCACTGTTGCTAACTAATTGCTTTTTCCAGGTGCAACTCCAATGACTCAAAAATGAAAGGAACTGCACTACGGAAGAATTTTGTAAGTTGTGTAATGTAACATAGCACCATCCAGTCTAATGCCATTTTAAATACATTTTATCATGACGTCACACATGCAAGTAGTAATCCTGATACAAAAATGACAGTACGACATGAATGAGTGACCTAGCACATTTGTCACACTCTTACCCTTCAAACAAAGGAAAACTGTGTTGTGGCCGGAATTTATTTCTGTATTATGTCAGTCAATACAAGAACTATTTCAAGATGCAAGTACAGACAAATATTGACTTATGTGCTGTGGACAGGAAAACCTGAGCTAGAAATAAGGATTCCCAGCAGGCCTATATAAACATAGTAAATAGAAGTCTAAGACTGGTTGCTCTCTTTTTCTTTTTTTTTTTTTTTAAATAGAAGATCCTAGCTCTACCAAGTATAAATACAATGCAATACAATTCCAATACAAAGGCTCCTCAACTATGAATCTGATATACATTAACTGACTACACTCATGTTTACTCATGAGTATTCCCCAGTCGCTGTTTCGCCAGTAGCTGGCACAGCAGTGGATGCTAATTTTCACTTGGTTACTTTTAGGTTTTTGCTTGGCTGGCTTATTTTCCTACCAGAAGACCTGAAAGTGCTGAGAAGCCATTCCTTAGTTCACATGTCATATTAAGGAGCACTTTTGTATAGAAAAAAAAATGTATTATTGTATCAGCAACAAATTTGTTAGTTATTACAAATGGCCTTTGTACCACACAGTGTCAAAAATAATATTGATATGTTGCTAATTACAATAAAAGAGAACATCAAGGTGCACCATAGAGCTTCCTATGACAGGAATGTATGTTGTAGATATTCCAGCTTACTTTTAAGACAACAAACGGCATTTATCATGTTGGTGAAAATGGTCCCGCAAGAAAATAAATATGGTTCCTTCATTCAGCAGAACCTCACTAATACGTCCCCGAGTCAGGGAGACCAGTTACAGCTGATGAGAAGTACACAAACAAAGATCAGATTAAAAAGTATGATCTAAAATACAGCATACTTTTCATTTCCTAAATGTAGCTCTGTCATTAAGATTAGTATTTCAGAATGCAACAGTTCACTGCATGATGAAACCAAGCAGTCTTACTCACACATTCTTACTACACTGCTCTCTTAAACCTGTGCAAGGAAAATCAGTTTTCTTGGGCAGACTGTAAGGTCTTAGGATTAGTGAGGTTCTACTGTGATGGTAACAGATAAAAAAAACATTTCTCTTGATGCTGACATTTGGCCAACCACATATTGGCAGATAGATGACTTGAACTCCACATGTTGTGTTCTCGAAGTGGGAGTAAGAAAAACCCAAGGTGTTTTTATCTCCCCAGCAACTGCATGTGCTTTGTCCCTTTATAATATTTTCCTTTTAGGTGAATAGGACTCAAAAATCACCATTTTTCTTTTCTGCTGTTATGGTGGCTAGCACATCTGGAATGCAGCTATAGTCCTGAATGTAAATACAGTACTGGATAACTACTGAAGGTTACTTTAAAGATGCAGTATCCCTTTAAAAAATATATTTTGCTTCCAAATTTCTAAAAGGGGTCTGACTTCCTTTGAGAAAAAAAAGTCGGTGTTGTAAGTACTTCTAAGAATTACTTTAAAGGGCAAAATTCTCAGATGCTATTTAAATAGAGTAACTCACATAAGAGGAAAAAGAAATTATAAGCCAACTTTCAACCAATATGCAATTAAAATCTTTCCTTATTCATTCATCAGAAGAATACATCATTTTTAGGCCACAGAAAGGCTACAACCTTGAGAACAAATAACCTGTGTTTGACCTTATTTTTATATATAATTGGGACTGAAAAACCTAATGGACAGATTAGAGAGACAAATATAAATAAAGACCATTTGAGTGAGAAACAGGAAGAGAAAAGAGGTTTCTAATCTCCAGCAGAGAAGTTACTTTTTCCAGACTCCACTGAAGCCAATGTGTTTCCAGTGTTGGTCCCGCTAACTCACCACACATACAAATATTTCTCAAAGAATCAACAAAGAAGAGATGATGAGTAAGATTTGAGTTCCACAGTCCCTGGCAGGCACATAAGGAAACTTCTCTAGCAATCCAAATTCCTCTTTTAAATTTCTTTTGTTAGGTGAAGTGATATATTTTAGCCCTAGATAGTGAAAGTCAATTGAAGAAAACAACTTTGTCAGCAGAAAGACTGCAAGCTGACTTAGAAGCTACGACGGTCGGCACCCCGCACCTTGCCACTACCCCACTCACACCAGTTGCTATTCAGTGTGTTATTCATTCTGCATAGTTACTCCTCTTATTACAGTGCTATTCTTCCACTGATCTTTAACCTGCAGCTCGTATCAACTATCAAACAGTGGAGAAAAAATGTGCTGCACTTTGTGCAAATAAATAGAAGCTACAAATGACATGCATTAATGCTTTTTTTTTTTTTTTTTTTTAGCACAGCAACAGAGCTCATAGATGCTTCAGTAACAAGGTTATATTTTTTTTACACTACTTCTACAGGTTTCCTCTTCTTCCCAGAAAATGGCACTCAGGCAGAATAACTAAGTTCTGAAAGCACCACGTAGAAGAAAAAAAAAAAAGTTAAAAAAAAAAAAAAATCAATCCACTAATTGCAAACCATTAGTGGCCTAAACTGTTCCCATTTCTCTGTTCCTTTGTCCTGTTCTCCCACGTTGATAAGGGATACTGCATCTTTGACTCAGCTCCTACCGCACCACCAGACAAGCTACACACAGTTTGGAAGGCCCTATGCAGTCATCATGACAGAAGGCTCCGCAGCCTTTGCACACGATCATGGCTTTCAGCCTGCAGGAGCATTTCAGTTCCAGCTCATCGGCGTTGCTGCTGTCAGCAAATTTCTGAACCGGGATCTGCGCATTCTGGTTAGACAGGCCTGTGGCAGTGTTTGAACCACTTCCTAAAATCCCAATCGACTTCTCAATTGCAGATGCTGCCCTTTTGAAACTTGTGCTACCAAAGTGTATTGTTGGATAATTTCCACAGAGCTGCTGCTGCTGCTGCTGCTGTGGGTGCTGCGTCTGTATTTTCTGAGCAGCAAGTTGGGTAAAAGGCTTCTGTGGCTCAGAAAGTAAATAGGAAGAGAAATCTGCATTTTTTAATGCAAACGCTTTTAACTGTTCTTTCACTTCGTTCTGATCATAGGAAGCTTGTTTCATGCCCAGTTCGCAGCTGCTGCTTAAACCTTCCTCAAAAGAAATAGGTTCAGATTTTATATTGCTACAGATGCTTGCTGGCTGAGGCCAACTAAGTCTTTTAGTGGTTTCCATAGTAACTGTCGGTTGTTTTTGATCAGAGGGGACTTCTGCATTTGGGTGAGGAGGGGGAGGAGGTGGCAGGGGCGGAGGGGGAGCAGGGGGATGCGCTAATGTTTTACTCTGCAGAGTTTGAGAGGCACTGGCAATGTCATCACCTTCCTTAATTTGAATATTAGGGGAAAACACACTTCCTAGCCTCAGCTGGTTAGCTGCTGTAGAAATATTCACGTCTCCCAAACCCTTCTGTTCCAGGTGTCTGCTAAAAGCAAATGCGTTGCAGCCAGGTGGGCCTTTTGAAGTAGTTTGCAACAAAGCTGCCGTAGGAATGGGGCCTCTTGCAGCCATGGACATTTGGTAAAAATGCTGTCTGTGTGAGGTACTGGCTTCTGCGTGAAAGCTGCCATTTTTATCAATGTGAAATAAACTCTGCTGGAAACTGCATGAAGGCAACGGTCTCTTCTGCTGTTTGATCTCTGGGCTGTGAGCGATCCGGCTCTGAATGGCGTGTTTGTTAAGCCACTCCTGCTTAAATGGCTGTCCGTGCCCTAGCTGATTCATGCTGGAACTAATTACACAAGGAGCCACTTTAACATCTGTGTCCATTGACACCTTCCCAGGCTCACATTTAATTTGAGCATGTTCCCCTATAGTCCTGGCCATCCTCTTTTTCGGATGGTTTTCACGCTTTCTGATTTGTAGTGGGGCTATGCTGCCTGCTGTGAATCCTTTACCATCTGGATTAGGAGAGTTGGAAGCATGTTCAACAATATTTCTCTCGGTCACTACTGTTTTACATACTGAGGTAGTTTGCAAAGGCAAGGGAAGCCTGTTAATTTCTAGTTTGGCTCCTGATCTGGGCTGTGGCAGCACTTTTTCTAAAGGCAGATTGCCTTGCAGTAACTGTGTCACTAAGGGATTGTTGGCCTCCACTGACGACAAGCGACAGCTAGAGCCCCCGGCACTCGTAACTCTCTTTAGGGTTTCCGTTGTCAGGGACAGGGAGTCTTCCATGGAGTCCGCGATGGATGTCTTGGAGGTCTGCGGTGGCTGCACACTCGTGGCTATTTCTGCAGTCTGGGCAGGCATTTCAGGTCCTGTAAAATCCTCGGTGTCCATCCTGAAGCACTTGTCAGACTCATTAGTTTCCGATTTAACAGGAACAGCAATGCTTGTCAAAAGACTCCTAGATTGCAGTTCTGACATTTGTGTGTAACTGGAAGGTTCGCTTTTGACGTTTTTCAAACAGTTTTGCTCTGCGTATTCCTTATGCTTACCAGAAGTAAGATGGCTGACCACTGGCTGGTCTGTACTCATTGCCTCCTCATCACGCCAACAAATTCTATTGTTAGTGCTGTACTGATTGGCACAGGCAGCATTGGCTTCATTTTTCAGTGCTGAAGGACCTCTTAGTTGCTCAGCAAAGCCTTGGCTGGTATTCACCACCTCAATTAATTTATCTTGAGGAGCAAGAGGCACTTCTCGAAGACTTGAACAACCTGCCTGCAAGTTTTTGCTGTCTTGCTTTGCTGTAATGGCGATAAAGCTGGAACTGTGCTCAAGGTTTTCATTAGCGACCACTTCAGGCCTGCTTATGACAGACACCTGAGGACAGGCTATACTTTGTAAGGCAGCTTCTGTCCTTACAGGTCTGCTCTGCAGGTCAATGCTGTTCTCTGCGTTTTCAATAGAGGAAGAAAGTGACAGACTGGAATTCTGGTTTGTAGTGTAGTCAACAATGACTTTACAAGGTATAGACCTATTCATGGCAGTTTGCGTAAAGCTCAGTGGGTGAGATTTACTAGAGAGATCCATCCGGCTTCGCGCCCCAGAGCTTTTTTCTAAGAGATCAGCATTCAATTTAGTAGTGTTATCGTAAGAGCTTATTGTCACCATGTTACCAGTAAACATTGAAATGGGTGGCCTTGCAACAGAATCTGCTGCTGCAAGGGCCTCACTGCAACTTAAAGCTGACCTGACGGTAGTGTGGATGGAGACAGTGCTCTGCTCGCTACACCCAGTTATGGCTATCTTATCAGGAGGAAATCTGTTGGTAGTCCCCACTGGGGGAATTAGTACAGAACTACCAGGAAGATGATTTGGCAAGTTACTTGCAATAGATGAAGCTGGCACAGTGGCATAATGACCGGAGACTGCGTTATTCACATTGCTACTGGGTACTGGCAACCTTTTGTCATCGATGGCGTTTGATAAGACTGTGTTGTCTATGGAGACTGGTACATTACTGTTATCAATACATTTTGGTCCAACAGTTATGCATGGAGTATCAGCCCCTTGGATGGTTTTCAGCATATTTATATTACAGGCTGAGATCGCTGTGTTTGCGCTGTCAACAGACATTAACACAGAGGATTTATCAACAGAACTTGCAAAAGAAAGTTCTTTAATTGCTCCAGACATAGCAGTGCTGCAAACACACACAGAGACTGAACTTTTATTATAAAGCACTGGCACACTGTTACTTTCAGTAGAGGTAGATGAAATAATTTTCTCACACAATTGTGGCACAGGTATATTTTCATCAGAACTGTGCACAGATATCTCAGTAGCAGTTTCTGGTAATGTAGCTGTGTTAAGGGACTGCTGCAATAAAGTGGTGGTCTCACGGTGATGAGAAGACTTGTTGCTAGGGGACCTGCAGTTAGGATTAACTATAATGACACCAGTAGAACCTTCAATCTTTGTGTCAGTAGTCGTTGATATCTCCAGAGATGAGGTACTACTTTCCTTTGAGCTGAACTGTGACTTTGATTCTTTATTAGTCTGGAGTAAATGAGCTCTGGCTTGATGCTTTGCAAATAGCTTGGCCTTTGTTTGCTCCTTGATGTGTGCCAGCGTTCTTGTCTTTCCACCTTCGCATGGGGTCCCCATTGCGCCAGAGACTATGCTGGCAGCTGCTGCCACGGCTGCTGCAGCTGCAGCTTCTCTTTGGGCTCTTGCTTGCTGAGCTCTTGCTTTGATATCTGCAAGAGTTCTAGCCCCAGTGTTTCTCCCACTGCTGACTGAAGTACTTGGGGAAGCTCGAGGTTCTGGTTTAGAAACAGGTTGGCTCTTGATGATAAAAGGTGGTCCAATTTTTGAAAGCTGAATCTAAAGAAAAAGAAAAAAAAAACCCAGTCAATTTTATTGAGATCATCAACTCACTAAATTAACTAGCTGTCTCTTTAAGGGTCAGAGAAAGGTAATGAAAGAAATTACTGTTAATGCAGGTAGACAGAAAACTGCTAAAACTTAATGATATTTATGCTTCAATATTTTATCATCCTCCAGCATGAATAACTGACACCTGTATTAGCCTACTCACACTGATCCTTCTGACAGGAAGAAAGATTGAACTGGACGACAACATGATGCTTATCAGACACAATTTGTCAGACCTGTTTTATATTCAGTGCATCTACCTGAGATGATCAGCAAGCCTCCTGCAGTGATACTGGACAAAAACCTGCAACCAACCCCTTCCTCAAACATGTGAAAAAGTAATGTTCATGTAGTGAACCTTTCTCCTTGGTCTCCAGTGATTAAGACATCAGGAACTGCCTGTGTTTTGCTTATAAACCAGACAACAAATCTAGCCATTAGATAGGATGCAGTGGTATCTCCATGGAGCCTGTTTCCAAATTCCATGATGGAGTATTTAAGAGTAAAAGAAGTGAGTCACTAAAGGATACGCTTTTCCTTTCCTCACTTGCATTTTTAAGAGATTCTAGAACATCCCTGGATAACTCTTACATTACTGCACTTCAAAAATTAAATCCTCAAGACTATAAATAATAAACTCACAGATAATAAAAAATTAAATACCTAGCACTTTAAGCAAAATAATAACCTGTAAAATAACCTGGAATTATTAGGATGTTTCCAATTAGGCATATAGTTTTTCAGGATTAAGAAACTTTGAACCACTTTGTAACTCATACACTCTCTCAGGATACACCAAGGCTGGCATAAAAAAATTTAAATTTCTTAAAATGGACATATGTCTACTGGCTATCCCTAGCAATAGGACTTAGTGGTTAATGCCATGACTTATCTTCTGAAAGGAACTGAGAAGAAAACTAGGTAGTATTTGTGGAAAAAGTAGTTATAAGACATGATGGGAAGGGACAGACATGTAGCAAAATGACTTAGAAAAACTGGAGTTCTTTTTCCTCCCTTAATTCCAAAGGATAGGGCTTTGTTGGTGAGATGATACAAAAGCCAAATATTTGCTATACAAAAAGCATACTAGAATTGACTGCCCACAATTCTTAAACACATTCTGCTTTGGCTTTCAGGAGCAAGTCTTTTCAGTTTCCACTTTGCATTACCAGAACTTCTAGAGCTCTAAGTGCTTGGTTATTTTTCTTCTTATTATTATAGTAATGACCTTTTTCTATTCCCTAGTGATCTATTTTCCTTTATACTTAGAGAGTTATTAGAATTTATTAGGCTAGATAGACACCTTCCAAATATGAAAGAATATCACTAAACTCAGAACGGGGCTAACTTCCAATTGCATCACTGCTCTTAAAAATAAATTAGCTGAAATATGCTTCTGCACTAGTGATTAAAGCAGTTAGTCTATTTGCCCTCCCGGCCATATTAACAACGTTCAATGACTGCAGCAGTTAAAAATAAATGCAGGAAAGGGCATTTCTGAATAATCAGGAACTAGTATTGCAAAGTCAATGGCTTAAATGCAGTAAATTGGATCTTAAATTTGGCTGATGTCATCAAGTAGGAAATTAAAAGGGTCAAATCATGGAGCCTATATATAACTGAATCTACAGAACTCTCTATTATGAAAAAGACCCTTTTCAACTGAAATATACTTTCTTACATAGCAGAATAATACACATAAAAGTGTTTGCTTAGGTGGTGTATTTTTTTTACCTTTTGCTTTGCCATTAACAAAGGTATCTATACATATATAAATTAGATACTTCCAGATCAGATCAGATAGGTCTCTGTTTCCAGTTAATTCTACAGGGAAATATTATTTTGCAGCCTATCCCAAGCCTTGAGCTTGCAAAAGGATCTTGCAAAAGGAACTATTCCAACTCTTGGTTCTCTTGTTGGATTAAGGTGCTGCTTGTTTGTTCTAAGTGCTGGTTATGGTAACATTTATTAGTCATGGTGGCTGGAGAAGACATCCACAGAAGAACAAGCACAAAATACAAATGGGCAATTAGAAAAACAAGTGCTGCATGTGACTGATGGGGAAGATCTTGAATTAGATTAAGCCATGGATCCTGGAGAGGCCTCCCACACACAAAATAAATTTTTTAGCAAAGACCCCTACCAAACAACTGTAGATGTATCTGTATCAGAAGTAATTTGGTGTTGTGGAAGTGTCACAGTACAGCAAAACCATCAGTACTAACAGCCCTTATACATCCCCAAAAAGTACAGCATGCACTGTGCCTGGACACAGTTCATAGAGGGACATAATAAACCTTTTGTTTCCAAGCTACCCTGTTTATTCATTACTTTACCTTAAGGGGTGGAACTCGGGGTTCCTCTCTGGGTGGCTGTTCTTTATCAGATGGACTTGTTGATGAAGCATTACGATTAGGTAGATCATCATCTATTCTAGCTCTCTTCTCTTTACAGATTCCAAAACCATGCTGTTCTGCTGTTTTCCTCTTTGGGATCTCTGGGTCTCTACTTTCATTTCTTGCTTCTGGTGATTTTGTGGGTTCTAAAGACCTGGAAGAATGTGAACTCTCTAGACGACTTTGGGTGCTGCCTGTTAGCTTGTGAGATTTACTTCTGCACACTTCAGAGAATGTAGCTTTCTCTAGAGATGAGGTATATAGTTTATCATGTGGCTTTGATGGAAGCAGTTCGATATTTTTGCCAAGTGATCCTTCTGATAAAACAGATACCTCTGAGGGCAAGAGTGTACCTTTCTTGTCACCTCTTTGCTGAACACTGTGATTTTTATTTTTGATCACCTCTGGAGGAGTGTGTTCTGGGATGGATGCAATGTAGGATTTCTCAATTTCGGAATGTGACTTAGATGGCTGATGACTGAGGTTTTTGCTTTGGGACTCTTCCAATACTGAAGTATCAGATATAATTTTTAGTGGACCAACTTTCATATTTTCAGGGGCACTCTGAAGCTGTTTTGGCTGAACAAGATTCTCTTCTTGAATCACCTTAGGAATGACAGAGCTTTCTTCTTTCAGAGTGGGAAGGGAGTCTTCCAACAAACAAGGTGATTTCCTTTGTTGCAGAGTAAGTCTTTCGCTGCCTGGGGAATTAGAAACTGGAGATATCTCTGACGGAAGAGGCAAACTATTTGTCACAAATGTTTCAGAAGTTAGATGAACAGAGGATACTGAAGATGTTTCTGATGTTAAAGGCAAATCAGACATTGGAGATGTTTCTGATGTTAAAGGTAAATTAGAAGCTGGTGATGCCTCTGATGTTAAAGGTAAATTTGACATCAAAGATGCTTCTGAGGTTACAGGTGAGGTGGACATGGGAGAGATTTCCGACATTAAGGGTGTGTGCAAGTTTTCATCACTGGCCTTTTGCTGAATATCACCTTCAATGTTTTCAGAACTGGACACTTCAGATGAGCAAGCTGTTTCAAGAGATGCTGGAGTACAGGGTTCCTCTGAAGTTGACTGAGTGTCTCCTCCAGGAGAGGCAATACAAACTTCTGGACTTCCAGAGGAAAAGGAAGTTTCAGAAATGCAAGCATTCCCACACAACTGTTCCTCAGGGTCGCTATGAAGCTCCATATCCACTGCAATGCCTCCACCAGTGAACAAGGAGCCTTCCAGAGCAGCACTTTGCATTTCTGGCACAATTAGCTCTTTTGCAGACTCAGAATCCTTCTCAGCTGTACCGCTGACAGAGTTTGTGGATGAAGCTGATTGTGCTGGTGATATGCAATCCTCCAGCTGATCTATCACAACTGACATCTCCTCCTGAGGGCATTCTGTCTTCAACTCTACTTTAATTTCAATGCGAGATACAGTATCAGTTACATCATTCATAACGACACAGGACTCAGTGCTGTCTGCAAGCTGTACTGCCTCTGTCTCCTCATTTGTGCCAGCTGGACTTACAGATTCCTCAGAAAACTCATGTTCTGGCTTATGGTTCTCCTCTTGGCATTCACAAATACTTGTCTCGACCTCTTCAGCAATTTCCTCCTGAATGACTGATTCCTCAGGTATCAGTATATCCTCAGAATCTGCTGTTAGATCCTTGACAGGAACCTGTTCCATATTACAATGAGATGGACTGTAATCTCTGTCTGGTAAAGGTGGAACTTTATCGCCTTTCTCCTCTTGATCCTCAAAGGTTGCTTGCTTAGAAGGACCAGGTGTGCCAGAAGATCCGCACAAAGAATTGCTTTCATCTTCGTCATTGTTCTGCACTGCAGTGAGCTTCGTTGATTCTCCTCTTGACATTCCCAACCTAAAGAAAAACAAAAATAAAATAGGTATTTCAATCACATTAAGGATAAGGGAATAGGCTAACCTTTCTGACCCACTTTTTTTATTTCAAAACAATATGTATTTTCTAGTTTAAAATAGTGGCTTGCTTAAGTGGTGGCTAAATAATTTATATACAGTTTTATGTATTTTGGAAACCTAACTACTGAGATTTTCTTACAAGTGCTAAAAAACATGAATATTTTTAATATAAGTAATCTCTCTGTTTACATTCTTGGTTTTTTGGGGGGGGTGAGGGGTTATTTTGTTTTGTTTTTTGTTTTGTTTTTTTTTTTGAAATACCAGCACAATATTGCAACACTGGTACAGCATCCATTGCAGAAGAAATGAGCAACTCCATCTTCTTCTAGTGGGAACAGTAATAAAGGAAATCCCTTTTTCCCTCCTTCATCTGCTTTTAGGGCCAACACAGACAGCAATATGGCAGAAGTTTAACATTCTCAAGGAGCTAAAAGATACATATTTACAATCTGTGCATTCATTCTCAGGCATGAAGTGCAAAATAACCATGTATGCTATGCATGCTTTTGAAGATTTTCTTACCTTTGATCCTGAACATACTAGTTTAAATAAAGTTGCATTACTTCAGCAGAATTAAAAAAATCTACAAAAAAACCCAAATCAAAACTAAGGCCAAGAGATGAAAAAAATTTATTTTTTTTAAAAAATGTATATGCTCTGACATCCTCATTTCCTTCTATGGCCAGTGGGAGTACAGACGTTCAGCATCTTTAGTTAGATTTTCCTAGCAGACTTTACGCCTCAGCAATTCCATAATAGTAGAAAATACACAAAAGCTTGGTGGGAGGCCTTAGAAGAAATTTCATGGTCTTAAGGATCTTCTAATCTCCTAAACAGATCTCTGTTATCATTTTAATCAGAAAATAAAGAATAAAATGGAAACAAGCAAGCATAAAAGATATTCAGAAGCTATGGAAGCGAAATTGCTTGTCAGTGTGTAGCCAGAGGATACAGAGATACAAAGGCCTATTCAGATGAAAGCACAGAACACGAAAAAAACCAAAATCTGTGGTTGAGCATTTTAAAAATACTGAACAGACGTATTACAGTGAGAGCTGTAAACACAAAAAATCCCCCCAAACCAACCCAGCCTAGAACTGGCATCCCAAAAAGCACGCTTAATTATTAGTATTGTCTACCACTAGACACTGTTAATGAACAAAGTCTCCCTATGCTATCAATACACTGAGGAAGGATCCTCTAGAGAGCAATTCAGAGCAGCAAATTCACAATTCCCATGCTGAATGCATTTCAGAAGATGTGTCTTTCTTCTGTGTAGACTATACACAATACAGTCTAAGTATAGGTTATAAGTTTAGGTGAGCAAAGTTTAGTTTACCAAGGTTTTGGTAGTAACTTCCTCTAAAATTCCTTAAAGTTATCTCAGGAAAATGAGAAGGGAAAAAAAATCCACTCCATTACCGAAAACTGAATCAATGGTCTATTTTCTCTAGCTGGGTTACATCATGAAAAGATATTGCTCGATGGTTATCTTTATGGATTGAAAATCAGCAAAGGAATGAAGGACAGGATAAAGGTGAATGAAAGTGTCACACAGACACTACACAAATACACACATTCTAGTAACATATTGAAGATAAATAACTGTAAGGTAAATAAGATAAAGCAGATTAAGGCCAGCAGAACATGGACTGAATCTTAATATTTTTTTTCAATATTGGAAATACTTCTATGTTGAAGAAGAAACTGAAATAAAGAAAAAGGCTTTCTAAAGAAGAAGGCTCAAGATCAGCATGTTTAAGGAAATCTAAGATTGCAAAATAAACAGCTGATCTGTCTTCTCCCTTAGAGAAAAATCCCCCAAAGTTCACAAAACAGCACAAAAATATAAGTGCAGCAGCAAGCATATTTCTATGAATGTGCTAAGGATAGGATTCAACTGGTAAAGTAACGGCACTCAGTCATCCAGTGAAAAAAACCCAGAAAAGCTAAGAAAGGATATATGAATGCTGATATTCTAGTGCTGTGATAAGTAGTACTAAGGGGAAATAAAACCGAAGTAAGGGAAGGATTAAATCAGCAATAAAATTTGGAGGTGGTCTACCAAAAATTAAAGCTTTGATCTAGCTGATAAGTATTATCCTGACATGTAACTCTCAAAAGTGAGAAAAGAAACACTATATTGACATAATAGAGTATAGCCCTTGCAATCTTGGGGCAACAAGCCAGAAGAATGTGGATTTCTAGCAACATGCATCAACTGATCTTGGATAAATGACTGCAGAATAAGATCTTGTATTTTGAAGAAAGTCAGAGAGAGGAAAAATGAACAAACACGAGGAAGTGGAAAAAGAACAAAAATGGATGGAAGTAAACTGCAACTGACAGTGCCCGATAAACAGTCTGGGTACAGATAAGAGCAAAACACAAGATGCAATGTTTAGAGCTAACAGGGAAAAAGCACTCTAAAGTCTTTGACTGCCATCAACTGTGGAGTGTATAAAAATGTTTGCAGAGATTCTGCATCTATTAACGGTCCTTCTTTAAGCAGAAGGTGAGAATTGTATTTACTTATGGAATATTAGAAGATCAAATTCGCTTAAGTCACAGCAAAAATACTACTCTGATTGTAAAGTGAGCAAGTTAGCCTGCAAGACATTCATTTTGCAGGCAACACATGTGAGAAACAGCTCAGGGAAGCTTACAGATTCTGATAGTTCAGTCAAATCAACATAGCTAAAAAGAGACAAAGCCAAACCATACTGAAAGCTAGTTTAAAAACCAAAGTGAAAAAAGGTAAGAGAATCACAGAATCCCAGGATAACCTGAGTTGAAAAGGATACACAAGATCACTGAGTCTAACTCCTGCCCCTGCACAGGACTGCCCCATGAACCAACACAAGGTGGAAGCTACAGCAAAAATCTGTCATTCAGTCAGTAAACAAAGAGGAAAAGCACTAAAGTCAAGACAGTACATCTCCCTACATAACAGCCAAGCAGAAGAATGCAAGTGAAACAATGCAAGCAGGGGAAAGGGCAGGGGGGACCAGATTCAATACTTCAGACAAAATGGAAATTATGTGGAATATGACATTTTGTATAACAATGTTGATGTCAGAACCCTATGAAACCAAATGACATGTATCATCACAGACTGAGCAATTATCTGCCAAGCACTATGGTATCCAGCATTCAGCGAGCACAGCAGGACTGCTGGCTCTGCAGAATTATGAGCATCATTCTCTGTGCATGTGACAGTCATTTTTGATTGAGGAACTCCTGCATTGCTGGTAATAAACTTCTTGAGGAAGGCCATATATACCAGCATCTTACACAGTCCTTTCCTCTATGAAAGGTTAGTCACCAACTCTTCTCTTGATTTGCGTAATGAAAAGCCATTATCTGAATGGCTAATGGTTCTTCATCTGAAAACCTAACTAGTATTTTTTTTAATACTAAAAGGATCAACACCTGGACTAAACTGAAGTCTCAAAGCTGTTTACTAAGAAATTAAGCACTTTACAATAAGACAGTCTGACACATTAAGAGCCTAGAATTTCCCTTATATGTAAACATATAGGTATCTTTAAATATATTTTTTAGGTATCTTAAAGATAAAGATATAAAGGTGCTGTAGAAAAAAATACACCGGGGGAAAGCATCTAGCAAGGGTGCACAAAATAAAACACTGAAACGGATCTGTCCATTTCTTGGCTTGTTTTCACTACATTTCCCAGTGGTCCAAGGCAGTGGATTGTGAGAAGCAGTAGTGTTACTACAGAAACATTTTAGTTTAAGATAATCAGTTATATGAAGGGTTCCCTGTGCCCTGGATTTCTTAAGTGAAGAACATCTGACAGCAAAACTAAGACAACTTATGCAACGATGGTTCCCACGGAACAATTTTTCTGCCAAGTATTATGCATTTGATTAGTAGACAGTGAGGTAGATTGAGAACTGACTGAATGGCAGATCCCAGAGAGCAGTAATCAGTGACTCAAGGTGTATTTGGAGGCCCATTACAAGTGGTGTTCCCCAAGGTTCAACACTGGGCCCAATATAGTTTAACTTGCTCATCCATGACTTGGATGAAGGGGTAGATGCCTCCTTACCATGTTCACTGACAACACAAAACTGGGACAAGTGGCCAATACACCAGAGCCTGTGCAGCCCTTCAGACGGACATTGACAGGTGGGAGAGACGGGCAGAGAACTGTCTGAAATTCAGCAAATCCAAGTGCAAAGTCCTGCATCTGGGAAGGAATAACTCCAGGCACCAGCACAGGCTGGGGGCTGACCTGTTGGGAAGCAGCTCTGCAGAGGGCATGGGGGTCCTGGTGGACAACGAGCTGTTCATGAGCCAGCAGTGCCCCTGTGGCCAAGATGGCCAATGGGATCCTGGAAGCATTAGGAAGAGCATTCCAGCAGGTTGAGGGAGGTGTTCCTGCCTCTCTGTTGTGCCCAGGTGGAGTGCTGTGTCCAGTTCTGGCTCCTTGGTACAAGACAGACATGGAGCTTCTAGAGATGGTCCAGTGGAGGGCAACAAAGATGATTAAGGGGCTGGAGCATCTCTCTCAGGAGGACATGCTGAGGGAGCTGGGCCTGTTCAGTCTTGAGAAGAGACAACTGAAAGGAGACCTCATCAATTTCTGTAAGTACCTAAAGGGAGAATGTCAAGAGGATGAAGCCAGGCTCTTCTCAGTGATGCTAGGCAATAGGACAAGAGGCAACAGGCAGTAACTGAAAAACTGCCTGAATGCAACCCTGTGTCATGTGCTCAAGAATGACCCTGTTTGAGCAGGGAGCTTGGACCAGATGAGTGACTGCGGTCCCTTCCACCCTTACCCATTCTGTGGTTCTGTGATATGATTAAAGAATACTTTAAAATAAAAAGAAAAAATCAGTAATTCTTAAATAGCTAGTTTATATTTTATAATAAATTCTTAGTATTTTTAAAACCAGATGTATAATTCTAAGTATTGATGAATTTGCTTTCAAAAATGATTTCTAAAATGAAAATTATTGGATTTTGAGAAAACATGAATCTCCTTAAATTTTGGGTTTTTTTTAAATAATGAAGATAAGCACTAAATTTTCAGCTGCTGAAGAATGCCATCTCTGTATCATCCTCATCAATGAAATTGTGCTGACTCACTCCAGTTGTGCACCTGGAGTGATACTATATTTAATTTTAGTCAGTTAAAGGTATTTATTTATTCTTTGCATCTCACTCCTAAAATTAGATTAGTCATTGTCACTTCCGTTTGTCTCTAACTAATACTTCTTCTATGTCATATATTCCTCTCAGGCCAGGGGCCATCTCAATCAAAAAATAAAAAACTATTTGATTTCAGTAACTTTGCAAGTAGCTTAGAAAAAATAAAACAAATTAAAACATATTGCAGAAATAATGCTACTGGTCTTCTCATCCGTAGAAGCTGTATTTATATTTTACAGGAGGGAGGAATTACCCTAATGCCATCTTTTAAAAGATAATTAAAAAATATTCACATGCTTGTGTCTTAAGCTCTCTTTGGAATGAATTTTTAAGCACGAGTTATGACTCCCTAAAAATGCAATTGTAATGCAATTGCAGACACACAACTATAATTCTACCCACAATGTCTTATACTGGAGAATGACTGCTCTTGATAACTGCTTTATTAAGTTTTACAGCATATGGCCATGCTATGTGAAGCATAGAATTATATTTTCATTTCCACCTAAAAGAAAATATAAAAAAAACCCTCCTTTTATTTGCTTCAGTACTTACTTTTCACCATAAAACCTTTCAAAGAATTTTTCTTTCCAAGGTTCGGTTTTCTTTTCCTTTTCAATCTCTTGTCTGATGCGCAACTGCATTTCTGGTGTAAATTCTCCTAAAAAACAATACTAACATATTGAATAAAAGTTGTCGAGGATTAATTCAATATGGGCAATTATAAATTGCGGATACAATGATGATGTCCAGTGACTTCTGATACAGTCACCCAACAATGCCAAATGAAAATAATGAAAACCGAAAGGGAGAGTGACATAGAAAGATTTAATTTACCATATACCATCAGTATTTCAAAGGTATATTGGAAGGGTTTAGTTGCATGCATTCACGTTTCCAAGGCTGACAGGGATGAAAATACTTGTGCCTTTTTTTTTGTTAACTGTCAAAATAAGCTGCCACAGCAAGCTGCAAAAATGTACTCTAAATTCAAAATGTAATCAGCAATTTCTCTTTCGCTGAATTACCGGTCTATTACAGTTTCTATTCTAAGAGTATTTCTCAAATGTAGAAAAAGAGACATTCTTCATAAAAAACAATTAACCTTGGGCAAACCTGAGAGCAAGCAGAGAGTTACCTTCTGCCAGCCGCTGTTTCCACCCTTGCGCTGCATATGCGAAGAACTCGTTATTTAGAGCGGAGCTACTGAGGCGCAAAACTCCATCGCTCCCCATCTAGAAAATAAGCCGATGGTAGCAGAAGATAGTGTCAGAAACAGCGTCAGCTAAGATCACATCAAAACAGAGTTTCAATTAGGGGAAATGGGGGAAGTGTAGGCAGTGGGAAGAACAAAATGACTACTACTAGAACAGCATTTTCACGATAGTCGTTACTGGAAATGGAAGTGAACTAATCCAGCATCAATGTGCTCTCTCCAGTCATAAGTGTTACTGATGATAACTCAGTTCACAGCTGATTGATGTGCTTTAATCACAGCCCTGTCTTGAGACTATGTCTAGAGGCATTGTATGCAATCAAAAATCAAGATCATTATTGTAGCTGTGCATCTGCCTGTAATATGGTACAAAACAAATTAATTAAATGTAATAAAGACAGTAACTTTGCTGTTTCTAAATAAACCTAATACTCATGTTAGCTAATAAGCTGTATTGGCCAAAGTGTGGATGACAGGCATCAGTTCTTAACAAAAGAACTGATGAAAACTCAGCACTGAAACTGAAAAGAAGCTCTAGTCATAATTTTATAGGCATCAAAAATTAAATCTGTGGAAGAACATTAGAATTATTGGTATCTTCTACACCTGCCAAATATTCAATGATAAGACAACATTAAAAATCTTAATCACAGTATTTTCTACAACAATTTTTAAAAGCAATCCAACTATTGAGCTGTCTTTTACCATAAAACATAATATATATTTTCAGGTTTGTGAGGATATTTCTGTTTCCAAAGGAATTCTAATAATTGAAAGAAGTAATTATATGAAACAAATTAGCAGTGGGTATCACCTCTAGCATAATAAATAGACAGTTAAAAAAAATTAGCAAATTAAAAAGTGAGGAAACAGCAGTAAAGATAATGTTGCTAGAACAAACACTCTCACTATTTTACTCCCTTCCAGGTAAGTTAGAGATAAATGTTTGACAATACTATTTGTAATCTAGCAGTAAAATCCAGCACATTTTCCAGCATATTAACAGATGTTTTAGCTAAGTAATATCCCCTAGTTCTCAGTGCCTGTTTCAAACAAGAGCCAGAAACACACAGGCATGCCAGAAACACTGAATGATATTTCGATGTAGCTATTTCATGGAGCTCTACATTTCACTGACAATACAGGCCCTATTTCGAGAAGTCTTTGCTAATTTACTTGTTGCCTAGTTGACATCTTGTCCCACAATTCTCTCAGAGGAGAAAACCAGAAAAATGTGAAGTAGTATCCAGAGAAACAGCAATTAGCATGGAGTCTGAAAAACAGGCATTGCTAAAGGCATTTGATTACAGTAAGAAAATAAGACATGTGTGGTACAGAGTTCCTCAGCAGAATATGAACCTCCAGAACTGCTGCCTGTGCTTTCCTGCTATATGGCATTGTTTTGCCAACATGTCATAGAAGTTGGATTTAAGTGGGTTGGATATGTAACGTTTCTATACATCTCATGATGTGGGTTATGGAACGCATGCATATTAATTGCAGGTAGGCTATGACTAATGCTGAGACTAGAGGAAAACTGGAACGAAACAGTGAAACGTTTCTTGCAGCAGAAGCAGCAAGATAATAAAACCAGTGAGGTGAGAAAGGCGATAAAGAACATGTACCTATTGTACAAATCAAACTACTATGCCACATTATCTTCTTCCTGCACAAATTAATTTTGCCAGAAATACTTAAATTCCACAATTAATACATTAAAGAAGGATTTTTAAATACCAGTCCCTCTTGCACTTAACAAACAAATTAGTATACTGTCAAAACCACCACTTACACAATTTTCTAGAAAGGTCAGATGCAAAGTCACAAAGAAAAGAATCACAACTTACTCAACAAACAACCCTTTGTTCCTCTAAGAAAGGTGCTGAAGCTACCTTAAACTTCAACATAAATAGAGATGAAATGGAAACACTCCCTTGCCAACGTACGTTCTACTCCAATCTTCATTAAATTCAACAGTTTTTCTCTAAGCAGTGTTTTGCGAAAAAGAGTCATACAGACATTAAATTCTAATAATATTTAACCACATTTAACTGCAGGCTGTGTCTGAAAGGAATGGACCTCCTGAAACTCCATGGCTCAGCTGATGACAAACAGTGTAGCCGTATCATCAGCCAGATCAAAAGATCTCATTGGAAAGTAATGATTTGTGGACAATAATTTTCTGTTAAATGACCAAAATTATTCAACTTGTTCTAAGGTTACACCTCTATTAGATTTCATGCAAAGCTGGAATGTACCACAATAGGTGGAAAGAGATTGCCACTTGTCAGCAGCAATCCACTATCAGATTGCATTAAACATAATGTGAAACTGCAGCCAAGTGTGATTGAGCTATTTCACCGGGCTGCATAAATGAAGAGCATTATAAAAACTGCCAAGTTATATTACCATGTGAATACAAGAAGAAGAGTATTAGCTTTATTGTAGCTCTGTTTTTATAAGGACAGGAGAAAAGCAAGCTTTGCAGGAAGAGTTACCCCACCTTTTATTTTTGTTGGCTAATATACTTCAGAAAAAAATTCTATGCTTCTGGGTGCAAATTTCTTAACAAAATTTCAAAAAAGAAACTGTGAACCCCAAGCAAAATGCTAGGAAAAGGTCCAAAAAAATTCAACTGTGATCTAGTTCACCTGAAAAAAAAGCACAGGCTGGAAATTCAGAAAATAAAGCAAATGTTAGCAAGGTCATGGGTAAAGGTAATTAGTTCTTGTGGACCAGAAAAAAATGCCCAGTAGTAAGTATCTGTAAAACAAAAAAAGGAAGGGGAAACAATCTCCTGAAAGAATAGCAAAAATAGCAAAAAGGGAGAACTATATTGCTTACCTAAGAAGAAAAAATATTATAGGTCAACTAATGATGGAATAACAGCCCATTTGTGAACTGTATCAAAAAATGGATGTGTACTGACCACTTTAGGTATGAACTGCAGCAGCTTACAAATACCAGGGAACTATGTCCTGATGACTGAAAAGGTGATGTTAAAGATGCTTAGGTTAAGAAATGTAAGAACAACAAACTAAACATGAAGTCACTGACTGACTGCATGATAGTCATTGCCACTGATGAGCTGTCAGAGAAGGGTCTTTCCAGAGGTGTGCGTTCATGGGTCCACATAATTCATGGAAGATTTATGTAGTTAGAACAACCAAAATCTAAACACAGGAGCATCTAATGATACAGAAGGTGGAAACACACCAATTAATTAGAGGAGAAGCTTACAATGATCTATTTTAACATGACATGAAAGAATCATTTCAGGCTTTAACATTATAGAGTGATGTATGAAACTAGACATCATTATCTAGACTTGTTACACATATGGATACTAATGTTAAAAATGGAAGAAATAAAGAGTTGTACAGCCCCAGTGACTTTGCCCAACTTGCCCTATGAATTTGAGATCAAAGAGAACATTTGCTGGGAATGGAACAGGAAGGATTTATTCAATCAGAAAAAGCTCGGAGAGAAAAGGATGAGGACAAAAACGCCAAAGAAACTCATAACGGCCAAAGAGATAAAGCAAATTAAACAGAAATTTTGGAAATGTTACATAAAGAATAAAGCACTATGCAGAGAGTGGATATCACTACCCAAACTAAATTAACAAAAAGTTCAATTGTTTAGCCATTTTCAGTTCATTTAAAGATTTCTACACAGTGAAAAACAGATTGAATAAATTGGGACAGACAAAACCCAAGTAATTTTATATCTAGTTGTTTTGAAAGAGTGCAACAGAAACAACAAAACTAAAAAATATGTTTTATGCTTTTTCTCAATACCCTAGCCATGAGAAATCAGGTTAACATCTTTTACTCTCTGTTAAACTTTGAAAGACTAAGAGGTCATCCTTCTACAGTGTTAGTTAACAACCTCTACTGAAATATTTTCTTACTTCACCTGGAGAATGCACTCTCACCTGAATCAACAAGTTAAAGTGGAAATTTTGAAGCCATGGAGTGCATTCATTTCTCTAAGCTCTGATGATAGAGACAGCACAATTAACCACTAGCTTTAAATTAGAATTTGGAGAAACATGCCAATAAAGCAGTTCTTAAATACACTGTTAATTTTTACGGTATTTAAAAAATGCTGTCCAACAGAGACTGTGTTAATGAGCTGGAACAATAAACATTTCTTGGAAAGTTTATGTTTTATTCTGTTGGGCTCTACATTTCTGGGTTTTTCTGATTAAGCACAATGCTAGAATTATGTTTTCTAATTAATACTTTCATGCAGAATTCACAATGGCTTTTGAAAGTTTTATTGAAAGCAAACAAAAAACCACTCAACCCCAAAACATTTCTGTTAAAACCCAGCATCTATTTGCATTACAAAGCAAATGTCAAACACTCTTATCAGAACAAACTGAGTAACCTTTCTAGAACAACTACTTCAATTATTTTCCTCCAAATTTCACGGAAAATTCTCTTCTGAAATAAGGCAGGGACTATTTTTTTAGCTCAACCTGAAGATGCACATTGGTGTTTCATGAGCATACAACAATTACTGCATAGTAGGTTAACTGGTAGGTTATCTGATTTTGGCTAGAATCTTGAAAGACAAGGAATCAGTCAATCTATTATTTCCATATGTCTTTCAAATTACTCAAAATCCTCCTAATGTATTTACAAAATTCCTAATGATCCACAGTACACAGTTCTCGTGTAGTACACCATATTTCTTACATGAAAACTTATGTGTGAATATCATGCCATTTGACTAGAATTATAGAATATTTTGAGTTGGATGAGATCTTTTCAAGGTCGTCTAGTCCAACTCCTCTGCAATGAGCAGGGGCACACTGAACTATCAGAGGGACACATTCACCATCAGGTGTCTCAGAGCCTCATCCAGACTGACCTTGAAAGTTTCCAGCATGAGGCACCTACCACCTCTGTGGCTAACCTGTTCCAGTGTTCTATCACCCTCTTCATAAAAGCCTTTCTTCCTTTTATCTAATCTGAATCACTGTCCTTCAGTTTAAAACCATTACCCCTC